CTGGAAAAGCACAGGCTTAGGGGTGATCTGATGGCCACCTATAAGTTTATCGGGGTGATCACCAATATCTGGGGGAACGTTTGTTCACCAGCGTGCCCCAAGTGATGACAAGGTCGAATGGTTATAAACTACTGCAAGACCGTTTGAGGCTGGACATAAGGAAGAATTTCTTTACTGTCCGAGCCCCCAAGGGCTGAAATAGCCTGCCATCGGAGGTGGTTCAAACACCTGCATTGAACACCTTCAAGAGTAAACTAGATGCTTATCTTGCTGGGATCCCATGACCCCAGCTGACTTCCTGCCCTTCGGGCAGGGGACTGGACTTAATGATCTTCTGAGGTCCCTTTCAGCCCTAATGTCTATGAAATCTATGAAATCATTGAGCAGCAAAGATGCCACCAAATATAAATCTATTTTTAAAGCAGAAAAGAAAAGGAAAAAAGGAAGTCAGATCAAAATGGCAAAGCCAAAGGCAACCAGATAGTGATTCTAATTTATATACTCTTGTTCAAGAGTATGCTATGAGCTTTAGCATACTCTTGAACTAAAGGCATGCTCATGCCTCATGCATAAAGAGCAGCATAAGCCACTATGAAAGTTAAAAATCACTTAGGTTCTGAGTGAGATGCCCTTCAATGCTTCCTTCTCTCCAGGCTCTGCAGAGCTCCTTCTCTGAGCCTAGCAGGAACCAATCTGAGGCACTATCCCAGGAGCCAGACTTCTACAGTTTCCCTCTTCTGGTCACCTGGTTCTCTCAGCAGACTACAAATGTTTTCCAATGGCCTCATCAGTAGTGTCCTTGATTCTGTTACAGTCATTACATAATTAGCTGCCTGCTGTTTACCATCTAGGGTTCTGTGGCTTTCTAGTTCTGCTGCCTACCCCCACTTTCAGTAAAGGAGTTGGGACCCCTGTTAGACATGGGCACTGCAGACAGTCTCTTGCTGGAGAACAGAGGAAAAAGTTATTTTACAATAACATTTGTTAAAGAATCTGTAAACACCTCCTACAGTGGGCTGGGAAGATCAGTAAAAGGGATCGACTCACACATGCTGAAGATGCAAACTGCATGGTGTCCATATGTTGCCAGACACTAAGGGCTCTGACAGACCTGCAGGTCCCCCTTCTATCTCATGCCGCTTTACACAGAAAGAGAGGGGCCGGGGTAAGGGAAATTGAGCTCCACTTTGGGGCCAATCACCTGCCTGCAGCCTCTCCCCCCCAGCCTCAACCCCCCTCCAGCTCCAGTGCTATCTGCTGGAAGGGAGCGGGGAAAAGGGAAGGAATGTGCTGCAGGCTGGGTTTTGCCCAGCGAGAGCTGGAGGGTGGCCACAAGGAGGGTTGGCTCCAATCCAACAGCACCAGCCCCCGCCCAGCTCCAGCCATGCAAATCCCAGCCTGCAGCATACTCCCCATCTCTTCTCCCCCCGCTCTTCCTGCAGACGTTCCCCAGGGCGGGCTGGGGTGCCCAGCCCTGATCACAGGACAGATTGACCCTAGGAAACAGAAGTTCCCTAAGGTGCTCCAAAAGTAGAGTGCCTTCATCTGATCTCTCATCAGTCATGTAACTGGCCACTTTTAAAGCACTTTGCAGCTGTGCATGTGTGTCAGGGCACAGGTGCAGAGCACTTTCAGGAGGCTGATCATGCAACAAATGTAACTTCTGTCTGTGCCCCAAGTCCTTGGGGTGGGTATCTTTAAGAGGATCCATGCTCATTTCATTATATAGCATCCAGCTGAAGGTTCACACATTATTTTGAAGTCAGGCCGGAATGAGATCATTATCCTTCCTCACCAGACATACATGTTACTGTATAATAAATAGTGGTCTCTGACTAATAGCCAGTTATAGTCACATGCCAAACACACAGCTCATAAGAACTAGCAATCACTTTATTGTGGGTACCACAATGACTGCATACTCCTCCCATTCAGGAGTCATTTGAGCAATTTATTTTTCAGGGCTAGGAAATAAGAAGTTGCTTAAGCTTCTCAAAGTGAAGAGAAATCCTTTCTCCCTATCCCTCAATTCCCCATCATTTAAAGAAATTTAAAAAATTCCCCATCTGCATATTTTTTCTGGAGTTATATTTTCCAGGAACACCGACAGCAGATCATGAATCAACAGTGTCAGGCAGCCAACAGCAAATCAAACAGAACAAACTAAAAGCAAATAGGAATGTGCTAAAGTCAGTTTTTGGTCAAAATGGACAGTCCTGAGGATTGAAATGCTTTTATACATGAAAGAAATATAAAATCAATGGCCCAACTGGTCAG